GTTGCTATGAGTCGGAAGGGACTTGATGGCAGTGAGTGAGGGGTTATTATTATTATTAAAATACTTGGCTAATAGCTCCACGAACCACTGCTTCCTCTAACACGAAACCAGAACTGGATGGTGTCCAGTTACCATTACAGAATGTTTTGCTTGGGGACGTGATAGATGGATCCTGATAGGAAGGAAAAAAAATGTGGACCAGGCTTCAATTTCCAAAAGAATCCAGACTTACTAGACCCACTGAGGTTGGAGGAACTCCTGACACTATTGTCCTGGGATAGTCTTCATCCTTGATAAGAAACTATCCCCGAAGTCATCTTTGAACAAATAGTAAAGAATGCCGCCCTTAAGTGTTGTACTTTAAAAAATAATTATCTAGGTGAGATCAAGGGGACAACAATAACTCTGAAGCACAGATGAGAAGTTTAGGGGCGAGGCAACTAGAGCAGAAATGACAAGAATTGGACACTATGTGAAGAACTAACCAATGTCACTGAGCAATAGATGTAGAGATGCTTGAACAGGAGCATGTTTTGATGGGTATATTTTCACCAAAAATTACATTAAATTAAAAAAATAAAAGCATTTGGCACATGGTAGGTGTGCTCTGTATGTGTGTGATTTCTTCGCCTTCCCTGATAGCCTTGGACATCCCCACTCACACTCCTCCATTGGTGAGTTGGCCCCCTGTCCCCTCCCACAGCCTCACCTGCATTCTCGTCACTCTCCCTGGTGAGCTCTTTGCGAGCCTCTTTCTGGCCAAAGAGACTCTTGAGGATGGCGTTGGCAATGGGCAGCATCATGGCGGTGGAGGCAGTGTTACTCAGCCACATGGACAGGAAGGAGGTGGTCACCATCATCCCCAGGATGAGTCTGGACAACAAAGCGAGTTAAAGACAAGCCAGAACCTCACGGTCCATCTTCCCTTCCCTAAGAAGTCCGGCCCACTTGTTTAACAATGCTTTGTTTTTGTATGTTTTGGTGTTTTATAATGTTTGTTTTGAGGTCCAAAGAGAACAAGCCAGTGGGAGAACTGGGGCCAAATCCAGGCTTTACCAGGCTTATGTTCTAGGCTGGGGAACAGGGGCTCAGCGTGTTCAAATGAACTGACCACAGACACCCAAGGTAATACATTCCAACGATCCTCTAAGCCTGACATCTCCCCTCCTTTGTGCCCCGATCCTTTAGCTCCCATTTCAGAATCAAGCTACCTTAGTTTGGCATCAAGACGCTTTATCAACTCACCCCCAACACCCTTTCCAGCCTCCTTTCCCACTTCCTCCTTCCATTCCCACCCAGGCAGCTCCTGCAGCTAACACTGACTTCTCACCAGCACCCAAATGTGCCCTGAACTCTCCTGCCTCCCTGCTTGATCTGTTCCCACGAATGAGAACCTAAGTTTCATTTCTTCTTCTTTCTTTCATTCACCTGGAATTTATTTAGACCTGTAGTTTGAAGTAAGATCCAAGTGTATTTTTTTCAAAGAATAAACTAATTTTATCCCAACATCTACTGTATATGTACATGCTCTTCCTTTCCCCACTAATTTGAATTTTGCAGGAGCCTTAGTGTGATGGTGGTTTAAGCGCTAGGCTGGTAACCAAAAGGCCAGCAGTTCAAACCAACAAGTTGTTCCACAGGAGAAAGATGTGGGAATCTACTTCCATAAAGATTACAGCCTTGGAAACTATGGACAGTTCTTTTAGATGATTTACTCTGGTTTTTTTTTTTTTCAGTTTGCTTTTTATCTGTTTCTGTACTAGCTCCATACTGTTTTAGTTGTTGTCACTTTATAATGTGTTTGAAACAGCCCTACCCATTGTTCAAGGTCCACTCGAATGTAACATCCTCCATGAAGAAGTCTCTTGTGTGACTCCTATAGCATGTTGTATCCCTTGAATTTCAAACTCTGCTTTGTCCTGGGATTAGTTCTATGGATGGAGTCTCTCCCACAGGGCTGAGGGTGCCTCCCAAGGAACTACTCCTACAGACCCTAACAGAGTGCTGGGCACAGAGTAGCTGTTAGAAGCCTAGGGGACACTCAGAACCTTCTTCTCCCTCACCACATACTCCACCTCTAAGCAATCCACTGATTTCATTTTCATGAAATAAATAAAACCATAGTCCAGGCTGCTGCTGTCACTTGATTGGACCCCCAAACAACCTCCCAATTAGCACAGCCACATCTCTTCTGCCCCTCATCTCTTCTCCGCACGGCAGCCAAGAGGAACCTTTACACACACACATCTGGTTATGCCACTCCTGGCTTTAAAAGGCATTAGCCCTTTGAAATGGAGACTTTTAACCAGGGGTCCATGGATATAATTCAAGAGTCGGATGGGGGAAAAGATTACATCTTTACTTTATCAACATCTAATTGAAATTTAGTATTTTTCAGTGATAAATAAAGGCAATAAAGTTCAGTAGTGTTAACAGTGTCTGAGACTTCCTCACCAATAAAAATTACAGATAATTTCATATCACAGTATAATAATTGCAGACATGTTCAAATGTCATTGACACTTATCACTGCCTCAAAATGACAGTTGTTATTAGGCTCATTGCTAGATCGTGTAGTTACCATGTCAATAAAGAAACACATATAGTACTATAGTACCCACATTTGTAGAGAGCTTTAAAAATATTTGGATATCCTGATCAAAAGGGGGAAAATGTAGCACAGAGTTTCAAATTCTCATGGAATCCAGACTTTCTGGAGGCATTGAGGCTTGATAAACCTTTGAAACTATTGCCTTGAAATAATCTTTAAACCTTAAACCAAAAATATCTCCTTAAGTCTTCTTTAAATCAAAAAATTATTTAGCTTAACCAGTAAAGAATTACTAGTTAAAGAATTGTTCTGCCTTGAGCATTATGCTTTCTTAAGAACTTTCTATATACGGGACTAAATTGACAACAGCAACTCTAATAATTCAATGGAAAATTTAGGGGCAGCAAGTTTATGTTAATAAGGGAGGAACATCTCAAAAAAAGAGGGTGAGAAAAATGGCACAACTTGAAGAACATCGCTGAAAAAAAAATACATTAGCACAGCACATTTACAAAAATACCTCCCCGGAACTGAACGCACACCTGTGGCCTCCAGCCAAACAGTAGACAGGCATATCAGTTGAGCATTTACCTGAGGTAGGTACACTCCTTGGAGAGAACAAGCAAGAGAGAAAGGGCTGCTCAGGCACAGGGAGACAGCTCAGGGGGGAGGAGTGCATGGAGAGATGGACACAGGGAAGAGGTAACTATTGGGAGGAAGTGAAAAGGGAGATGTTGCATTGTGCTAAATGGTGGTCAATGTCATGAGATAAAGTGTATGTGAATTGCTGAGTGGAAAGTGTATTTGCTCTGTAAATTTTCACCCAAATCATAATAAATAAATAAATAAATAAAATACCTCCCTGGGCAGGGAGTGGTTGGCAGACAACTATAGAAGGCACGCGTTATCTGGGTAAAAATGTGGTAATCACTATCACTGAACTGTTCAAGTAGAAATGTTTGAATTAGTGTATGTTCTGCTGTGCATATTCTCAACAACAAAAAATAAAATAAACTATTGGAAAAAGATTTTGATGATGGCATTTTGCTGTAATTGTTGTTTTGAATCCTGTGTGTTGTGCTTTATGCATTTGAAAACATTATTCTAAGAAGAGATCCTTGTTGTTATGTGTCGTCGAGTCAGCCCCGACTCATAGCTACCCCTCCTTGGGTTTCCAAGGCGGTATCGCTACGGGAGTAGACTGCCCAACCTTCCTTCTGAGGAGTGGCTGGTGGATTTGAACCGCCAGCCTTCTGGTAAGCAGTTAAGTGCCTTTAGGCACTACGCTGTCAAAAGAGTTCATGGAACAACACCAACAGATGAAAACAATAACAACAATGCTGTTTTAAAGGCCACTAAGTCCTCTTAGATGAAAAGGCCAAAGCTAGCCAGGGGCCCCAAGTTCTTATAGGATCGGACCCTGCCTCTTTCTCCAAGACCATCTTTCCACCCTCTCCCCATGCCCATCACTTGGGCTGCGGAAGAGCTCCAAGGATGATAATGGGCACAGTTCACAGTGGTTTACCTGTATTCACTCATTTAATCCTTCAACAACTCTATGAAGCAGACACTGTTCCATCCTCATTTACAGGTGAGGAAATCGGCAGAGTGAGGGGAAGTGATTTTTCAGAGCAGGCAGGCTGAGAGTCAGCCCCAAATGGTCTGAGTCATACTGTTCAGAAAATGCAGATTCTGCCCTGGGTGGCACAAATGGCTTTGCTCAACTGCTAATGTAAAGGTTAATGGTTTGAACCCCCCCAACAGTACATCGGAAGAAAGGCCTGGTGATCTGCTTCCAATTACAGCCAAGAAAACCTTCGGGGCAGTTCTACTCTGTACCACGTGGGGCTGTCATGAGTTAGAGTGGACTTGACAGCAAGGGGTTTAAGGCCCCTCTAAAACTACTGACTTCAAACCCTTGGAGGTAGGGCCTGTGGATGAACAGGCTTCACAGGTGATTCTGATGCACTTTGGAGAACAACTGCTCAAGGGCCTAGCTCTGTCTGGACACAGAAGGGGTTCAATAAATATCTGAGGAGTGGGTAAGTGAATGAATGGTGGAAAATGATGCATTTTTTGGCGTAAGCCAGGAAGAGTGGATCTGGGCTGTGAGAGGTGAGGTCTCTCCAGGGCTCCACTCTGGGGCTGGACCTGTTACCTGGCCTTACCTGGCTGGCTGGATCCCAACAAACATCAGGACCTTGAGGGCGATTCTCCGGTGCAGATTCCACTCCTCGATAGCACTGGCCATGATCAGCCCACTGAGGAAGAGGAAGTTGGTGTCCAGGAAGTACTGGGAGCAGACCTTGTTGGAGGGCAGGATGCCCATGAAGGGGAAGAAGATGATGGGCAGCAGGGCTGTCACCGAGAGGGGCAGGGCCTCCACGCACCAGTACACCACCATGAGCAGGATGACAAACAGGCAGCGGCCTTCCTGCAGTGGGGGACACGCACTCCAGAGGGTCAGCGGAGCTCGGGGTGGCAGGGAGGGAAGAAAGCCTGGGGGAGGGGATGTCAAGGCGCGCTCCTCGGGGAGGCAGCAGAGGGTGCAAGTGCCCATGAGCAGATGGTATCATCATCCTGAGCTTCATTTTGCTAAACTGTCAAATGGAGAAACTGATGCTGCCCACCTGATAGGATTGTTTGAACACTGAATGAAATAACCCATTGACTCAGAAGTAGACAACGGAAGGGGGTGGGGAAGTGAGACAGAGAAGAAGAGGAAGCCAATATAAAGTATAGGTCATCCCCGACTTATAACGGGGTCCCTTCCAACCACTTCTCCATTGTAAGGCTGATGTAAGTCAAATACTGTATTTTTCACAAATAATGCCCCCACGTAAATAACATGCACATGCACATAACCTGCACAGCACACATAGGAAACAAACACTTGAGGGGGTTGCACACATTGCAAAAAAACATTTAACACACATTATTTGCATAAAAATACAATATCCCCCTTTGTTAACGTTTTCATCGTTATTGCCTTTTATTATCAATATCTTTATAAATCTATCTTTATTTATCTTGCGAGGTTGGAAACATTACGTCTGAGAATGGTAACGTCAGCAAATCAAGTGCTGAAACACTGTATGTGGCAATTTTACTAATGATAAGATGTACAAAATAAAAACTTGGATGATTATAGGTGTGGTTTGTTGTAACTTGAATACATCATAAGTTAGGGACGACCTATTTGTGAATGAGAAGGTTACCACTGTGGCTAATTGGTGCTCAATTCTCAGGGGAACTCTAGGAAACTGAGTAGAACATGCCTCCGAGTTGTTCTACTTGGGAGTCAAAGAAGTTGAGGTGTTTATCTGCCAACTCCTGTCCCTCACTGGTAAGGGCTGCTCCTAGTAGCATTAACTGCCCAACACTTCCAGCCCAGCCCGCCTCTCAGGTCATCTGAGCATGCTCCTACAGGCAGAGGAAGTCCTCAAGCACAGCATCGCAAGAGCTATTGGCATGTCCAGGGATGGTGAACATCAACAGGGATGTGGAGGGAGTGCAGGCAGCAACTGCCATACTCATGTATGACACTTAGTACAATGCCAAACACGTACTCAAGACTCTATAAACAATAATAACCACTAACATTTATTGGGTTATCAAATGTTAGCCACTTTATTCTTCATAAAATCCCAGCAAAGTAGGTACTATTATTACCCCCACTTTATGTCATTGGAAAAAAGCCAAGCAGGCCAAGGCAATTTGCCTCCAGAGCTTGTCTTTTTAACCACGCTACCTTGAGCTGTTGTAAGCAGGATACGAGAGCTCATGACAGGCAAATAATTTACAGGATTCAGAATAAAAACGACCAGTGGTTTCATGGGGCTAGGGTAACGTGTGTGGGGGGTGAGGGATTGCAAAGGAATTCAAGAAAACCTTTTGGGGTGATGGAAATATTCGAAGCCTAGATTGAAGAACGATTGTTTTTGGTAGGTACCATCGAGTCTGGGTATGGAGCTCTGGTGGTCTAGTGGCTAAAGCATTAGGGTGCTAATCAACAGATCTGTGGTTCACACCCACCAGCTGCTCCACAGAAGAAAGATAGGGTAGTCTGCTTCCATAATGACTTACAGCCTTGGAAACCTATGAGGCAGTTCTACTCTGTCCCATAGGGTCACTATGGGTAGGAATTGACTGGATAGCAATGATTTATGGGTAAGGAGCTCTGGTGGTGTAGTGGTTAAGGCATTGGCTGCTAACCAGAAGGCTGGTGGTTCCAACCCACCAGCTGTTCTGTGGGAGGAAGATGAGGCAATTTACTTCTGTAAAGATTTACATCTTTGGAAACCCAATGGTGATTGCTGTGAGTTGGGTTTTTTTTTTTTGTGTGTGTGTGTGTGTGTGTATATATGTCAAAACTCACCCAACTATATACATACTTACTGAACATGAGACCAGTAATGACAATGCCTTCACTTCTGATACTTCAATGTCCCACAAGGGCCATAATAAATTGCATCTTGTTATTCGCACAGTCACTGTTTGAAGAGAACTAGTCACTATCCTTACTTCACTTTCTTATGTTCTTCCAAGGCAAGGATCTCTCATGTTCTAGTGAACACAACTCTCTTTTGGATTTGGTGCTTTCTGTGCCATTTTTACTTCTTCTTACTCATGGTGGGTTTTGTTACATTATTACAGTGCCCACAGGACCTGCTCTGTTCAGTGTCTCATTGAACCGAGCACCATCTGAACGAGCACCATCCCAATAGAGCACCTTAGCTAAA